AGGCGCATTGGTTTGTGTGACTACTGGATGTCCTCTCCATGATGCAGCTGGTTTTTGCATCATCAGTTCCCCTTCTATATTTGCAAATCTCTTCTTTGTGTATGATATAAGCATGTATATATCCAAACAGGTAAAGGTACGAATGTATAGCCTTGGATTAACCACCTTGATTAATTTGCTGGACGGTTTTAGCTGAGGACCCTGCGAAACCAGAGAACAAGTGAAAAGCTGCAGAGATCTCCCATTATAATAATACCATCAACACGTTATTTGCAGGCATTATGATACAGTTGGATCCATTTTTAAAATACATATATTTTCCTAGGTTAAAAAAAGAAAAGATGTGTACATAGCCATATTTTTCATGTAGCCCTTTAAAGGAAGAAAAATAAAGAAGGAAAATGAGTCTGAAGGAACATCATTCCTACTTGATTATTTCATTCTGAAGTATGGAGACAAAGAAAAGAAATAGAAAAGAATAAGAGAAATAAAAAAGAAAGAAATGGGAAAGGAAGTACGTGGGATACAAACATGTTCTGGGCATATTGTTGTTGTGTACCTTCGTTTCTGATAATTGGAGACCCTAAGGTGAACTTATCATGGAGTTTTCTGAGGCTGAGAGTGTGTGACTCACCCAAGGCCACCCAGTGGGTCACCATGGCTGAATGGGGATTCAAACTGTGAACCCCCAGCACTCAAACCACTATGCCATGCTCTCCTGGACATATTACATTTGTTGTTGTGTGCCTTCAAATCATTTCCGACTTCTAGAAACCCTAAGGCAAACCTGTCATAGGGTTTTCTTGGCAAGATTTGTCCAGAGGAGGTTTGCCATTTCCTTCCCTTGAGGCTGAGAGCATGTGCCTTGCCCAAGGTCACCCAGTAGGTTTCATGGCCAAGCTGGGAATCGAACCCTGGTCTCCAGAATCGCAGTCCGATGCCATGCAGGTCCTCCGCACATTTACATATACATTATCTATTAAGCTGTATATTCCATGTAGCTGATGGCATTACAAGAAATATACGTGGATGGATGTGAAGTCCAAATGTGAAGCTCCTCCCCAGTTGTCCGCAAACGCAACCCACAACACCAACCACGGCGTTAAGACACACTTTCTCAGCTCCACACCAAATGTCTCCAGCTGGGGTTGCCAAGTTCTCAAAATAGCAATAAGGACTTCTCTTGCAATTTGAATCCACTGATTTGTGATGTGGGGCAGGGGAGACAGTGTGCCCTACACATTGCCTGGGGTCACGGGTGCAGGAGCCCTGAGAAAGTGGGGTGGGGGGGTAACGACAATGTTTTTTACCTAAGAGAACACCCCTCTAGGAATCACTAGGTCCTCCGGCGCAACTCTGTGGTCAACTTCTGCTGGAACCTGACCATAGAATCACGATGAAGGACCTAAAGATAACTTGAGAAGTGTTCTCTCTAGCAATCTCTAGGTCCTCCAGCGTGACTCTATGGTAAAAATATGTTAGAAGCTGACCATAGAATCATGATGAAGGACCTAAAAATGCCTAGAGAAGTGTTCTCGTTCTCACACGGGGGCAAATCTGCTGGTTAATCCACACAAATCCCAA